CATCTGGTCCCTCTGTTTTAGTCTTGTCTAAGTCTTTCAGTAGGTCTTTTATTTCATTCTTTTCGAGCGTGATATTTCCGATATTCTGATATACTTGTCATTTCAACAAACAGTGACTGAAATTTCTCTTTAAGGATTTCACACATTTCCTCTTCCTTAGTATAAATGGTGTTATTGCCTTTGATGGCGGTGATTTGATCTCTACTATTAGTCTTAATATTTATGTTGTTAAAGGAGTGCTTTGGTTGGTTTGTACATTCATTAATTATATCCGTTTCAAAGCCCAATTTCGCCTCCTTCATGGTTTGTGTTTACTTATTTCTTCCTACTTTACACTTTTCTTACGCTGCCTGAGAGCTATGTCTTTTGAACCTTCTCCAAAGGAATTGTTTGTTTTCTCTCATTTTCTTGAATTTATCATGAACCTCTTTTGGCCATTTCTTGCTGAAGTTTTGAATCTTGATACATTTTTTCCACACCTTGTTTAAAGACTTTAATTTAGAATATTGCATATCAAGATTGTCTTTGTTCAAGAGGGTTTCCTAATTTAAGCTATCAAAGAAATCTTTAAGGCTTCTATAATTACATTTCCTTTCCTTTTCTTGTACTTTCTTTTCCTTTCCTTACTTATGATGAGTTTTTTTCTGTAACAGACAGTATTTTAACCTAATTACTAGATGATCACTTTTTTCCTGGAGGGCAGTACTCCATACCCTTAACCCATTGCCGCCGGAGAAAATGAACAAAAAATGGGGCAAATGCAGTACTCATTTTTTATATTTTTGTATAACATCTCTGTCCATAGATGGCTCTGCTAGTCCTGATTTCACCTTTCCTTGAATTGGCGGGAAAAAACGTATTTTTACTAGTGCTATAAATTTAGATGGTGTTATTTTTAGCAGCAAATTAGGATAATGTTAAATATTTTCGTAAATCGATGAAAAGGGTGAACGGGCGAGACAGGCAGTACTCGTAATTGGCTCATTGGATACTTAGTACAAGTGTAGCCATCTATGTGTAAAAACAATCGAACAAGTCGACTCACAGTGGGCATGGCATGTACGTACATGCCATCCCCGGCGGCAATGGGTTAATGTCAACTTTATGCTTTATAAATAGTCAAGCACAAACGGTCTATCTAGCCCTTTTACCCTGACATAATCTGTTACATTCATTTATGTAATTTTGCATTCCACGAATCTGGCTGAGCTCTGGGATAAAAAATTTTCCTGTCAATTTTGCTATTAAAATCCCCTGTTACAAGAATTTATTTTGCGTTAGTTTCCGAAAGTTGTAGCACTTCTTCTAGGCTCTTTAGCGTTTCTTGAATAAGTTTTTGGTAATTTTCTTGTGACCACACCGATGGTGGCATGTACACTGTGGTTATTATTAAATGTGCTCCGTCTTGCCTTGGTGTGATATATGGGATATTGGTGAATCTCTATCCCCTTTATAATAATTCCTTTCCTTGTTAATATTGCTACCCCCTCCATTTCCATTTGCAATGTCTCTTCTCCAAATATTGCAGTCTCAGAGTCCTAATGTTACATCGTCTACGGAGGGATCCAGTTTGGATTCAGTGATGCATATTGCATCTGGTGTATTACTTTTGTTAAGTTCATCTACTTCTAGTAACTTCGAACATAAACCATCTATATTTGTATATACTATTTCTACATAATCTTTTTGGATTTCCCCTTGGCTGCAAGGCTAACTATTGTCTCTTTCCACATTTTAGTTCCGATATTAAATTTATTTTGCTTGTAGGTCTCTCACCCTCCAAATTTTTTTTTTCTTCTTCAGTCCTTTGTTCGTTTTTGTTTTTTACTTCTTCCATTTTTTTCTGCAGTATTTCTCATATTTGATCATATTTTCTCTTATTCCGATTTTCTATATTCTTCGTGTGTGGCCAGGACTTTAGCTTTCTTTATTACATCAGTTACCATTTGCTTATTCATGAATGTCACCTTTAAAGGGCGTTTCTTTCCTTTTTCGAATAATCCCAACCTCCTGTGGACTATGTTACTCTGCTCCGAGAATTCGGGATTAATGACCATGAGAATACTGACAATTAGTTTCTTGTTTTCGTTGTAGCGCTCGATTCTATCTTCTACACCATTTTCTTTATGTCCCAATATGACTATGTCGTTTACATCAACCAAATTTGCAATATTTCTTGCGTGTTGCCCAAGGTTAAATTAAATTTTCTGCATCATCCCTGCAAGCTGTATCTTTTGATGTCTTTTTCTAACTTTTTTTCCATTTCATGTACAGTTTCCTTTACTTTAGATACATCGGCATATGTAGCTGTAATCTTTTTTTGCCTCTTCTATTATTTGAGACTGGCTGCTTGACAAATTGCTTTCAATCTGCTTAACAGTTTCCCGTACCTTGATTACTTCATCAACTTTTTCTTTCAGATTCTTTCCCTCGATCTGACAACTGTTGCCAGTCTTGGTTTCTACTTCTACTCAGGCTTTTCAGTATTCTCTCTCTGAATAGCTGTGTTCCCGCGCAAATTATCCGCCAATTCCTTCAAATTTACGTTTTCTTCATGTAATTTCGAACATTCTGCTACCACGTTGTCTACTTTGGCTTCATCTGCTGCTTCCGTTAGCTTCATTTTCCACAAATATAATGCTGTACTCACGGCAGTTGGTCTCTATGCGCGAAAACGCTTACCATGCCGTATTCGCGGTCACTTCTCGCCTCCCTCTCCTTCGCTCTCGCTTCCTGGCTCAGAAAGCCTCACTATCGTTTTCAATTTTTCACTTATTCGTTCACTTTATAACCCAAATCATTCTTTCAGCACATAACCGTACACATGGCTAGTAGACCTAGAGCACTCATTGCCTGATCTCCTTACGTAAGAGCTGTACTTCAATGGTGCGATGCACTGTACTCTCCGTGTGTGTGTGTGTGTGTGTGTGTGTGTGTGTGTGTGCGCGTATCTGTCTATCTATCTATCTATATATATGTATGAATATACATGCACATGCATATATAGATGTATATATATATATATATATATATATATATATATATATATATATATATATATACATATATATATGTATTTATATATATATGCATATACATATATATATATATATATATATATATATATATATATATATATATATATATATGTATATATATATATATATATATATATATATATATATATATATATATATATATGTATATAGGTATATATGTATTTATATATATGTATATGTATATATATATATATATATATATGTATATATATATGTATATATATATATATATATATATATATATATATATATATATATATATATATATATATATATATATATATATGCATGTGCGTGTGTGTGCATATATATATATATATATATATATATATATATATATATATATATATATATATATATATATATATATATATATAGATAGATAGATAGACATATAGATAAATAGATAGATAGATAGATAAATAGATAGATAGATAGATATGTATATATGTATGTATATATATATATATAAATATAAATATATATATATATATATATATATATATATATATATATATATATATATATATATACAGATATATATGTAATTATATATATATATATATATATATATATATATATATATATATATATATATATATATATATATATATGTATATATATATATATATACATATATATATATATATATATATATATATATATATATATATATATATATATATATATACATATACAGATATATATGTAATTATATATATATATATATATATATATATATATATATATATATATATATATATATGTATATATATGTATATATATATATATTTATCTATATCTATATACATATTTATATGTATATGTATGTATATATATGTATATATATACACATAAATATGTATATATTTGTGTGTGTGTGTATTTATGCAGCTTCCCCGTGGCCGAACGCAACTAAACACATCTATGAGAAATGAATATGCAGAGACAAAGCAAGCAACTCATGAATCATGACTGTGCAATCTTGTATCACAATTCCGAGCGCATTGACGCACACACGCACACGCATTCACGCAACCCGCATTACACGCACGCGGAGTCACGTGGTGTTTCGTGGAAGCTTCGGCGGGCGGCGGGCGCGAGGGGCGTGCTGCGCGTACAACGTGACGTAATAAGAGGGGGGGGACACAAAGAAAAATTCGGGGAAAAGGTTGTATGTAGATTTTTTTTTGTCGTTAAGACTGATATATAAATATATATATATATATATATATATATATATATATATATATATATATATATGTATATATATATATATATATATATATATATATATATATATATATATATATATATATACAAATATATGTATATATATATGTATATATATATGTATATATATATTTCTTTTAAGAAGAAGAAAAAGAGGAAATTCCATTGACAGAGATGAAGAGAAAGCAGGAAATTCAGAAAGTCGATGAACGAGAAAAAATGTTAGAAACGAAAAAGTAGATAAAAAAGAAGTATGAAATAAAATATCCAAGTGCCAAATATGGAAAAAAATAGCCGATGGGAAACACATTACCAGAAAACCAGGCAAACACTAGTACATCAATAAAAAAAATCTGATCAAAGGAAAATATAAAAAACAACAGCCCACAACAAACAAATAAAAATAGATAAACAAACACATAAACCCTTAAATGCACAAAAACAAACAAACAAACGAACCAACAACTGAATAGAAAGTAAAACAAAAAACAAAAACAAAAAAAGGCAGACTCACTGGGAGAAAAAAAGACAAGTTCCTCTTACAGCGCACCGGAAATCCTCACGGGAAAGGCAAAACACACACACAAAAAAGAAGTAGATATTTCGACACACCGGTACTCTTAATCGGCAAATTACGAGGCGCCTCAAGTCTCGGGAAGACGCTTATATAACAGCACTTCCCTCGTGCCGTTAATCAGTTGATCGACAGACGTCAAGGAGTTCACGGGGCCCACCTGACCCTCGTTCGCCCTCGCTCGACACACGAACACAGACACACTCGGATTAAGGCAAGCGCATTTTGAGGATTTTATTTGTGCTTATTTTATTTTATTTCTTATGTTTATTTTTTATTTGATAGTTTATTTACTTATTTGTTTATTCATTCGTTAATTATGTATCTACTCAGTCTTTTATTCATATATTTATTTACTTATTTACGTATTTGTTTATTTATCTATCCATTTGTTTATCAACTTATTTATTTAATATTCTTATTCTTATTCAAGCGTCTAATCATTGATTATTGATTTATTCTTATGTATTTATTTATTATTCATACTATTATTATTATTATCATAATCATTATTACGATTATCATTATTCTTATTATATTACAAACATTATTATTATTTTTATTATTATCATCATTATTGTTATTTTTTGTTATCATCATCATTATTATTATTACAATTATCATTATTTTTGTTATAACATCGTTTTATCATTAGTACAATTATCATTATGGTGATTATCATTACTGCTACTGCTATTATTATTATTACCATCATTATTGTTGTTATTCTCATTTTTATGATAGAGTAGTAGTAGTAGTGGTAGTAGCAATATTGCCATCATCATTACTATTATCATTATACTTTCTCATTATTCTTCTTGTCATAAAAATTATCATCATCACTACTATAAATATTATCATTATCATTACCATTCTATTATCATTACCACCATCATTTTATTATCTTATTATTTATTTATCATCATCATTATCTTTATCATCACCAGTATTACTATTAAACAATCAATATTACTTTTACTATTACCACTCGGTCCATTATCATAATTTAATCACCATCATCATCATCATCTTCAAAAAAAAAAAAAAGAAAAAGAAAAAAAATAGGGCAAAGTGCTGGAGACGAGAATAAATACAAAATTAAGTAACATTTTTAGCCGTGTCTGAGTCAGAGATTGAGGGATGATGTGGCACTGACAGTTAGTTACCAGTGTGAACCACATTCGAAACATACGGAAAACAAGCGCGTTGGCTGCTGCTCGTTGTATGAACCTCCAGAACTTTATAATCATCCACTTACACCACTCGTTCGCTCTGTGCACCCATACGCATTTACGAATCTAAACCAGATGCGTGTAGTCGGTGTGAGTGCCACTTCACGAAAGGATTTGGTTAAAAAAGGGATTCGATTTTTTTGCAGACCAGGTAACTTATACCCCACACCCTCTCCACTCCACAGAAGGATATGGTAAAAGGCATTCGATTCTTTTCAAAGGGGTTCCTTCTACTTCAACTCTGGCTCCTGTTTTCCCTCCGCGTGGACGCCGCTCCGAGGACCTCCAGACAAGGTTAGTTGTGTTGGAACCTCCACCCAAACAAGTTGTTGAGTGGCCATGCGTGCCCAGGTCATGACTGTTTAGCGGTGGCACCGAGGAAGGCTTTTGCGAAACTTTCAGTTCTGATGAGTTCCTCTGGCATCGTTTATAGAATTTGCGTGTTTTTTGTTTTTGTTTGTGTTTTTGCTTGTCATGTGTTTACTATGTGGGATTCCTGAAGTGAGATGTAGGAGCATTATTTACCGTCTGTTTAGTCTGATTAGTTTCTGATATATGCTGATTATTCTTACATACATGAATACGTATATAGACATATAGTGTACATACATACTTGTATACACGTACAAATACATAGATACATACATACATACACTGACAAACTAACAAACACACACACACACACGCGCGCGCGCGCGCACTCACTCACTCATTCATTTACTCACTTTTTTTTTCTCTCTCTCACACACACACACACACGCACACACACTGTCTAAGCATAGATATATACATACACATATCATACATACACACATACAAAAATACATACATACATGCATATGTACATACATACGTACGTACTTACATACGTACATGCAAAAATACATACATATATACATACATGCATATGTACATATACACATACATACACGCACATATACATACATAATACATGCATGCATATAACATCAATTCATCCATAGACACAAACGGGCACACGCACAAACAACACACTAAACTGAAACGCACCATTTTTTTCCAGCCAACCGCTGTCTTCCTGGATCAAAATGCACTATCCTGACGTCCTGCCCTGACCTGCTCTCGGTCTTGGAGAATCCGACGCCTTCAGGAATTAAAGAGCTGCAGCAGTCAACATGTGGCTTCGTTGAGAGGATACCTAAGGTGAGCGCACTACTGCAGAAGGGAGGCAGAGGGCCGTCTACGCCATATGGACATTCAGTTAGGGATATATTCTCTGATACAGATAGGCAGGGAGACGTACGTACACAGATACACAGGTATAGATACAAGCATACGTACATATACACAGAAATCACATATTAAAGACAAGAACACTATACACAGAGACACGTAGATACACACATACTCACGTATATGTACGCTGAAACCAAACAAAACAAGAACAGTAATAATAACAAGAACATGCATGCGCAGTGTCTCCGTACCCAGCCTCTCTACCCCCATCAAAATTATTTTCTCCCCTTATTAGGTATGCTGTAGAAACCCCATCCCTGGAGCCCCCCGCCCCTTAACCCCTGAAGATAAGCCACCTTCACCCACCTCCCCTCCGTCAACGCACCCACAAACCACGCCCCCCGCCCTGGAAGTCACCACGCCCCCCGCCCCGGAAGTCACCACGCCCCCTGCCCCGGAAATCATTACGCCGACGAGCCGACCTCCCGTCCTCTTCCCTGGCCGGTCGCTGCCTGCTGAAGAGAAGGGGCTGGACCTACTTCCCGAATACTGTGGAACCTCACCTCTGGGACTAAGAATCTCAGGGGGGAAAAAGGTTCGGTTCGGAGCCTTTCCCTGGATGGCTGTACTTGGATTCGATGGTGAGACTCTGCCCTTGTCTCTCCCACGATGTTGCAGAGGCCGGTGTCGCCGCATTCTGCGTTATTTTGTTTTTATTTTTCTTGTGAAATAATCTTAATCGCAATTATTATTTTCCTGTAATCAATTTTTCTATGATTATTATCACTGTTATTATCATTATTGTTTTTGCTATTACCATTATTATCATTATCAGATATTATTGCTCTTGTTATTCTTATTAGTAGAGCTATCATCATGACCATCACCATTTTTACTTTATTCATTATCAGTAACATCATTAAAACACGCATTCCCCCCTTTCAGCTCCCGGAAGTGACCCAAAAGGCGACGTCAAGTGGGGTTGTGGCGGTTCGCTTATTAACAAACGCTATGTCCTCACGGCTGCCCACTGCACGATGCCCAGTTATAACGAAAAACACGTCCTGTAAGGCTCTGTACAAATTGATATTGTTGATACATGCATGAGGATATAAACAAATGGATCAAGATATTTTCTCCCTAGTGACGATCTTTGTTCACCTACAGGAGCAAAGTGCGGCTCGGAGAACATGACCTGAGGGCGGAAAAGGACTGCAGGAGAGCGGGAAGTGGGGCGGAAATGTGCACACTCCCCCCACAGACATTCGGCATTGAGGAAATGGTTGTTCATCCCGCTTTCAACCAAAGAGCACCTGAGAGTGATGATATTGCGTTGCTGAGGTTGGATAGAGACGTGGATTTTGAGAGTGAGTTCTTTTTGTAGTGTTTGTAATGATGTTCTATTTTTTTAAGGTTTGGTATGATTTTGTTTTGTTATTATGATTATTGCTTGTGTGTCTCTGATCATTTGTCTGTCTCTGCCTCTATCTTTTCCTCTCGACTCTCCCACACACACTCCAACCTCAGTTTACACACTCTTAATCCCGATTCTGCCTTTTCATCAGATCCTTTCGTGCAGCCTATATGTCTCCCGACTGAGGACATGGACCCGGAGAAGTTCGTGGGAGATCGCGGGGCCATCATAGCAGGCTGGGGCGTGACCAAATCGGGTTATAGTTTGGACAGGCTTCTCACAGCCACCGTTCCTTACGTTCCTCTGAAAGTGTGTAGGAAGAACTACCGTAATGTGCTGTTGAAGGAGCAGGTGAGATGATGTTTTTCATTCAGTTTATCTATCTATCTGCCTATTGATTTATTCATTTATTTATTTATTTATCTGTCTAACTACAGCAATATGTCGAGGGAACATGTGAGATTTTTTTTTTATTTTGTCAGTCTATCTATCCATCTGTCTATCTTACTACCGCGATGTGCTTGGAGGAGACAGACAGAGTGATGTTTTATTAATTTATTTATCTATTTATCATTTGTTTAGTCATTCATTCATTTGAACAAGGAATCAGGTAAATCTTAAATGAGGCTAAATTGTTCAAGTTCATCATGATGAAAATGACGATGATAATTATAATGGTATCAAGAAAACTATTAAGAACAGAAAAAAATACATCACTATAAATAAGATAACAATCGGAACTGATAATACTGATATGATAATAATAATAATAATAATAATAATGGCAACAACAACATTAAAAGCAAATATGTCACCAGTGATAAAAAAAATAAAAATAAATAAACAAAACGTAAATAAAAACGCCACCCGTCCCTCAGCTGTGCTTCGGAGGCGTCGACTTCAAGGACTCCTGCAGCGGGGACTCCGGAGGACCTCTCTTCCAGGCCAAGTACTCAGGGGCGCCGCACGTTCAGGTGAGGCTCCGTTGCGCAAAGACACGGCGGGCGAAAAACGGGGATGGATGAAAAAAATATTAGATTGATAAAAGAAAAGAAATTATGTGTGTATATATATATTACATAATACACACATGCATTTATATATATATATATATATATATATATATATATATATATATATATATATATATATATATATATATATATATACACACACAAATATATATTCTCTTTTTTCTAAACTAATAATACCACAGAGCGATTTTTACAGCGAAAAGAACTGTTATATAATTTGTTCAAGATTTTTTAAATATCTTAATGTTATCGACAGAAAATCCATCGACAGAATCACTATAACCAATAAGTACCTCCCTACAGCTTGGTATCATCTCCTACGGCTACAAGAACTGCGGGACAGAAGGAGTAGCTTCAATTTACACCAACGTAGCTTCGTACAGGAAATGGATCTTGCAGAATCTGAAACCTTAAACTCAGTCGAGTCCTTGCAGAGAGTTGGATTCAAAGTACGACAAGGTCTTGAAGATGAAATGCCTTAATATATTTTTCTTTACTATATTCTATTACATTAAGTACTGTGATTCTGTAGAAGTATATACTGCTTCTATACATGGCCTATGGCGTATGTGATATATATGTATATTCATACTGTGAATCAAAATATTTATCTATTTATTCTCATATACTTAGTGAGTTTAATTCATTATTTATTATCACTTGCATATGATCATACTGATTTCGCTTACGCTACATTAATTGTCATTGAATCGATTATCTAATTGTAAGGAAAGAAGCCTCGCTTGCATTCCATACTAGTCAAATCATAACTAACTTTAATTTCGCCCGAAAAATCTTCATTCTCTTCAGTCTCGAGATAAATGAAGATATGTACAACTGAAATAAAATATACAGTATCAATGCATTTTTTATTCTGCCACTCCCTGGTCCCTACTTATAAAACACTTTTTGTACCACATTTCATAGAACTATTGTAGCCTGAGGTACAGACGAAATCACTGCACATACTTGGCATGCCATTGTGTTCCGAAGTATGTGCTTTAACATTAACTTTGAACATTTGGAGAATATGTTTATCTTGTAATGAACTCAGATTTTTTTCTACTGTTCCTTCTTCACCACTCATTGTTTACGCGTAAATCTGAGCAATTGTACGAATGTTTTAAAGTTATTATAAATATCAGTTTTCTGCAAATATTGCGTCTGCATTGTTGTTGTTTTTTAATAATTATTAATGGTGAAGGTTTTATGTACATTTGCAACTTGCTGAGGACAGTTGCTTCCTGGTTAGCATGACATCAATCGACTCTCTTTTAAAGTTTATTTTCCTTTATCAGTCATATCTGGAAATACCTAGATCTGATTACTTCTCTCTCTCTCTCTCTGTCTACCTGTCTGCCCTTTGTTTGTTTACCTTTCTCTGTCTCTGTTTGTCTGTCTGTCTCTCTTTATATCTATCTATCTACCTGTCTATGTAACCTTCTATCTATCTATCTATCCATCTATTCATGTCTATCTATATATATGCACTTCAATTTAGCTACCTATTTATCTGTCTGTCTGTCTCTCTATCTACCTGTCTATTTGTCTGTCTGTCTAACCACCTATCTCTATCTATTCATCTATCCACCTATCTGTCTATCCCCTCATATATAAACATCAATCTAACCACCTATTTATCTGTCTGTGTCTCCAGTAATCCGTATATCAGACAATCTGCTCTTTCTCATCTTCTGTGCCATTCTGTCTAACTTTCCTTGGTTCCTTCCTTCTCTCTGAATTCAAACTGTTCATGTGTCGGTCTCTTCAGACTGTTCGTTGTTGCATACAGTATATGTACTGTTTAAGTGGCTTGTGTATGCACACACACACACACATATATGTGTGTGTGTGGGTGTGTTGTTACGTTTAACATTAATAGCAATTATAGTAATAATAACTGTTATTTAAAACATTGCTCTACTGTCAGTACAATATACAACGTTCCAATTTAAGCAATTTCAGTTCCTAATATCTGTCATATTCTGAGGAAATTATCACAAGATTTGAATTTCCTGTTTCATTTGAATTTCCTGTTTTTAGTATCTATGACGTCACAGTCCTTAAAAAAACCGTTCGACTTGCCGGAAAAGGATTGAGAAATAGCGGGAAGTCTCTTTATATCTATATTTCAAAGGTGTGTCATTTTCTGATTCTGACGCTCGGTGTGACACATGAATAGGTCTGCAGAATTTTTTCATTCGGATGACTGAGGAGAGGAAACGTTTATTTGGAAATATGAAGCAAAGTAGGAGTAAATGCGATGCGCACTGTGGCTGCATCTATTATTATCATTATTATTATTGTTATTGTTATTGTTATTGTTATTGTTATTGTTATTGCTATTGTTATTGTTATTGTTACTGCTATTGTTATTATCATTATTATTATTATTATTATTATTATTATTATTATTATTATTATTATTGTTATTATTATTATTATTATTATTATCATTATTATTGCTATTATTATTATTATCATTATTAATATTATTATTATTATTATTATTATTATTATTATTATTATTATTATTATTGCTATTATTATTATTAATATTATTATTATTATTATTATTATTATTATTATTATTATTATTATTATCATTATTGCTATTATTTTCATTATTATTATTGTTATTGTTATTGTTATTGTTATTGTTATTGTTAATATTATTATTATTATTATTATTATCATTATAATAATAATAATTATTATTATTATTATTATCATTATTATTATTATTATTATTATTATAATTATCATTATTATTATTATTATTATTATTATTATTATTATTATCATTCTTCTTATTATTATTATCATTATCATCATTATTATTATTATCATTATTATTATCATTATTATTATTATTGTTATTATCATTATAATTATTATGAGACATTCACAACCTCTGGCAAAATATTATTCGGTAGTTCATGATGTCTGAGCTGTGAGCATATAGAGTGATCATGCATTAGTTTATTATTTCTTTTTTTTCTTTTTTCTTTTTCATTTATCTATTTACCAATTCATTTATTCATGTGTTGATATATTCCTTTGTTTCTTCATTTATATATCTACTATTTTTTTGTCCATGTATTTAGTATTTATTCATCATTACTTTGTTTATGAATGTATTTTTTCTTTCATAATATTTCATCTATCTATGTATCGATCTACCTGTCTACCTATCTATCTATCTATATATTTTATTCATTTATATATTATTAAGTAATTAATTAATTCATCTACCCTTCCATCCATTTATCCATTCATCCTTCTATTCACTTTCATTCAGCCATCCAAATCATTTTCAACTTTGACACTGGGCAACTCCCCCCTGTACAATATCCTGTTCTATGCTATATATATGAGTGAAAGTAACTTGTGTTCTTGAAAAGTTATACGCGCCACATACGGGATCTTAAAAAAATGTAGCCTAGAAGATAAATTATAGCCTAGCAAATAGATTGTCGCCTAGTAGATAAATTGTGGCCAGGTAGATAAATTGCAGCCTAATAGCTAAATTGTATCTTGGTAGACAAACTGTAGCACAATAGATAAATTGTAGTCTAGTAAATGAATTGTAGCCTAAGAGAGCACACACGACTGGAGGAAGCCACACTCGACCCTCCCAGAGTCCAACCAAGAGAGATCGACCTCTATGATCCTGCTATGGAGGTCCGTCACGTGATCACTCCATCCGAGAACCTGTTCATGTTGGGCGCCATCACGTGAGGGCGCTGCGTACCCCGGTGCCTGCAGCGCTCTCATGACACCGACTAAAGTTTGTTAGGTTTATATCCGTATGATCCCTCTATCTGGTATAAAATTATAGTTATATCTAGCTGCATGTCTCATTTTTTCTGATTCGCGAAAGAAACAAAGACTGCGGGTTGGATACCACGTCTCCCGCGCTGCTTCTTACCCATGGGAGAGACACTGGAAGGAGATGAAGTGTCACAGGCCTAGTGGTGCATGAAGTTACCATGTGATTTCAGAACGCGGAGGTGGCACCACGTGATCCAACCACGTGGTGTGTCTCCCGCGGCATCACTCAACCACGTGTAAGGTTCAAGCGGCATCGGCCCCTCACTTCTCCCAAACTGTGGCGATGCTCTCTGCAGAACTGTTATAGCTCCTGTGTAAGGAAGAGTGAATAATGTAGAAACAACTCCAAATAGTGCACCAGGGTGAGCATTTGAAATCACCTAGAGATGTCACAAAGTCATTGCCATGTTAATTCACTCAAACGTGGATTTTAGCTGGATAGGATATATACATAATACTATTTGCATCGTCATCAGGAAACAGTTAATAAGAATACAACTAGCGCCCGAGATTATACCAATACATAATAGTCTATCATCCTGTGTCTCGATATGCTATTATAAGAAGTTAGCAAAAATACAAGGCAACTCTACTCGTATGGTCTGCCTGCAAAGAACTGATCCCTGTGGTATATAGGAGAGCTTGCAAAACCTGAATGGGTATTTGATAAAGCAATGAGGAAGGTTGGTGTTTGTACTGTAAGCTATTTTCCTGAAGGCTTACAATATCATGATTTTCTAAAAGTGTTTTATACAAAAAGGATAAGGTACATATGTGTTTAAAGGCACCTTGTAAACAAGATCGTTCCACACATCCGTCCCTGGCTGAAACAAAGGCTACGCCCTCCTGTTGGAGTCCTGTTGAGGCATTAGCTGTTTTGCACACCTTCCACTTCAAAGCCTAGCTGCCACGTCCGAATGAATCCGACACTAGAGCGGGCGGAAGCTAGCACATGCCCTCGAAGGAAGCCGCCGCATAAAAGAAGTCTCGTCTCGTCAGACAGAGTGCAGACAGATGAAGTCACCCAGTGTCTAAGCTGGAGAGACGGGGGACTCTTGGGAACTCTTGGGGTGTCACATCTACTTTCCTTAATAAACCCACAAGCCAACACCCGTTTCATTACCCACTCTAGACCTTCTCTCGTTTCGTTGGCTTATGGTGACAGTGCTCTTTCCTTCACATCTGGTGGCATGCGATCCTCACAACATCTTTGTCGTTAATACGCCTTCCGTCACATTTTCTGTCGGAGCATCTGGCCGCGTGCGGGACACAAACGTTCCTCGATGCCACCCCCAACACGCATTCATAATGTTATATGCATTATGTTGAAAGCCATTTACACGCATCGGATATTTCATTCTAAAACTATTACTGATTCAAATTTCAAAGATGAGAATAGATATATATCAGAGCTAAGGATTAACCGATCCAAAGCACTGACTGCTACGATTCTGAAGTCATGGAATTCGTGGTATTAAACATGTGTACTAGACCTGCTGTGTACTTGTATGCCCGCTTCTTGGGACCAACTTTAATTCAACTTAGATGTGCTCCCTGGTATATTAAATGAATCAAAGCTAGGTGTTTGATTAACTAGCATTGTTAACCGCCTCATCTGTGTTGACGATATTGCGGTATTTTGTTCATCTTTGTTCGATTTACAGCATCTGGTCAATATTGTTCATATGTTTATATCAATGCGGATACTGAATTTAGATATCAATAAGACAAATATGTGAAATTAAAAGCAAGCAGGGAAGAGGTGACAAACTCAAAACCATCGATAAGCGAATATAAATATCTTGACTATGCGTTGGCTCGTAATGGGTAAAACACCTCACACTAATCTACAACGGTTTTGTGCAAAGAAAGTTATCCTCTTTAAGAAACCTTCAGTAACTGTGATGTTGATGACAAAGTACATGTAATTCCTAGCTTTTGCACTTCATATTACAGTATCACTGAAATTTTCATTCGATATGAGATATCCGAACAAACCTAAATTTA